GACCAGCTGCAGCTGGTAGACTACAAACAGCTGCTGCCTCCCTGGCCCTGGCCCCAACGGGCATAGTGCTGGTACCTGCTGCCTTCCTGGAGCCCAGGGCTGGGAGACAGCTGGGGCGGGGTTGGGGTAGGAGGGCAGCAGCTGATTGTAGCCTCCTGGCTGCGGCCAGCCCCAGTTCTGGGTAGCTGCTGACAGCCACGGAGCGCAGGCTGCTTCCATGGAAGCCCTGCTGCAAGTAGCCCAGGCTCCATGGCCATCAGCAACTACTCAGAACCTGGGCCAGCTGCAAACATTTGCTACCTCTCCAGACCCTGGTCCCAGCTGCCTCCCAGACCTGGTCCTGGGCTCCGAGGAGGCAGCACATACTGGCAATACTCCCTGCTGTGTTGCCCTCACCACTTCTGCAAAGCAGCATTGGAACCCACCATGGCAGGGCACAGAGGGGGGCGCAGAAAGCTGCCTGCTCCGTGCTCCTAGCTGCCCTGCCACACTTTCCTTGCAGGCGGGGCAGCAGCGAGGGGCACAGCCCTGTACTGCTGCCCACGCTGCTCCTGTGCACACAAGGGAAGTGTGGCAGGGCAGTGGGCAGCTGGGAGCAGGAAGCTTTCTGTGCCCCCTGCTGTGCCCTGCCGCACTGGGTTCTAACGCTGCTTTGCAAAAGCAGCGAGGGCAGCACTGCAGGGAGCACTGCCAGTATGTGCTACCTCTCTGGAGCCTGGGGCTGGGTCTGGGAGGCAGCTGGGGCTGAGGCAGAGAAGCAGATGTTTGCAGCTGGCCCAGGTTCTAGGTAGCTGCTGACAGCTACAGAGCCCAGGCTGGGGGGCAGGGGCTTTGGGTGCGGGGGGCAAGGGCTTTGGGTGGGGGGCAAGGGGCACAAGCAGGGCATCCTGCCATGTACCCCCTGCCCTCATTTTGTTTTTCTGGCATGCTGGCACTCTGGCACCTTCCAAGGTAGGCATTGTGGTGTTGTTACTCCAGCCAAAAAACGTTGCCTGCCCCTGTCCTAGACCATCACAGTTCTAATCCCACTACAACATTTATGGATAAGAAGTTTCAGTCCTTCTAATACAAGGGTGTGCTGGTTGGATGAGTTGTTTGGGCCTGGTTCACAGGCTGGATCCAGAGCTTGGAGCCATGTCATCTGGCCTACCCACCAGCTCAGAAATTTGGTAGTGAGGCAAGTGGCAGCAGCATTAATTCTAGTGACTTGTCCCACTGGCAAATTTCTGACCCACAGGTAGTCCTGTCGGCCAGGTGACTTGGCTCCATGCTCTGGATCTGGCCTGCAGGGCTGACCATGGGTTGGAAATTTGGTGGCTGAGTGGTGGGGTGAGTGGTAGCTACTGTGGCCCAAGAGGCATGGAAATTAACACTACCAAATTCCTAGCTCTGTGAACTAGATGGAATGGCTGGTGCCTCCTGGGTTGGGGGGGTGGGACGCACCTGGGGTCCTTCTATGGCCGATTGCTGAGCTGGGGAGGTGGGGGCAGCGCGTGATCTCTGGCAGACCCGGAAGTGGACTGGAAGTGCTTCTGGTCCATTTCCAGGTCTGCTGCTGAACATACTGGGGACCGCCCCCCCCGTGTTTCTGTGGGACACTCCATATGCCCCAGCACTGCAGTATTCACAAGGCACCTGCTACCTAGAGGTATGTAGAAAAAACATTTAAAAGCTGCATCTATGTCCGAATCACCGAATCTTTCCGAATCTCTCCGAATTGATTTGGAGAGTTTTGATTCAATTTGGATTTGGAGATTCAGCCACTGAATTGGGCCGAATCTCTGCTGAATCGAAGCAGGGACCAAAGCTTTGCAGACCCCTAGTGGAGATGTGTTGGCAGGTTTTACATTTCTTGTCCTGGTATGGTCTGGATTCAGTAGGTGTGATTTGGGTCATAGGGAGTTTGGTTCTGGTGATGAGGTTAGCAAGGTTCGGTGCTTGTTTAAAGGCTAGGATGGCTAAGATCTCTTTAAGAATTGGGTCTTCTTTTAGTATGGGTTGCAATTGTTTGAGGATTTTCTATGTAGGTTCCAGGGAAGGGTGATATGTCCTGTGAATGCGAGTGATCAGTTCTATCCCACAGGGTTTTATTCAGAGAAGACATTATTCATAAGTTGTACAGGTGTATGTGCTCTCAGATAGTACTCATACACACTTTGGTTATTTCTTGTGGCAAATGTGAAAATAACATAATTCAGCTATTTTCTATGGCAGTCCCCCAAGGTGGGAGCCCTCTGCAAGGAACACATCTTTTGAGTTCACATTTGAGAGAAATTTGCATGTCTGACACCAAGCATAAACAAAATACTTAACCTGATAAAACTTGCCTCTCCACTTACAGTAAAACATTATGATCTTAATGCGTAAACATGCTAAAATTAATTTCAGTGCAGAAAACAAAAACAAAGCCTATGAATTGGGCTGCAGACCCAACACAAACATCTAGCTGCTGGAACTAAGTATAAACAACACACACATTTTTTAACACAAAGTGACTGTAGAACAAATGTACAAATCAATGTCAAACTTTATTGTAAACCAATACACAATGTAAATACATCATTTACCCTTGAAGTGTAATATAACACTACTGATTAAACAACATGGTCCAAAGACAGGGCAGCAGAATGAAGCCATTGTTTTGCTCACTCAGGCTCTACTCTGAACTTATGATAAAAGAAACCCAAAGTTCAATTTGAAACAGATACCCTGGCAAGACAAAAACCACTGACAAGAGTCCCTTTTTTAAAGATACTGCAGTTTTACTTTGTAAAACCATAGAAGTAATTTTCAGTAATTGAACTAGAAACTAAATATTGTCTAAAAAAGTTTGCACAGCTGTGCTGTAGATTTATTGTGACCTTATGTGGCTGGATTTGCTCACTTTCATTCCATTTTCTGCTGAAAAAGCACAGCAAGTTGCAGACTTGGTTTAGATAAACACAGTGGCAGGAATTCTTTTTGATGCTCACTTTTAACTGAAATGGCTAAGGCTGAATGCTCTTCACCCTGCCAGGCACAGTTAGCAACTGAGCACATATCTGTTAGAAGATCTCTGGAACTTTGCATTGTTCTAGTTTACAACTCAACAAGCATGAGTTTTCCCTGAAGAAAAGCTATAACACATTTTAGTCTGCAACATTAATATACAGCATGTTACCGGTTTAAAGTAAGACAAGGAGACCTGAATATATTAAAGCCAGAACTTTTAAGACTATATATTATATGGACATGTGTGTTTAGTTTATTTGAACATACCCCAGGCCAGATATCATGGCCACTTAAGTGATTTTAAAGGTGACAGATATGGTAACTTCATCTCCACAATTTCTGCATCTTTTCTGTAAATTAAAATTAAAATTTCTGTTTTATTTAGGTTATACTACATAGTTGATTTTCATTGAATGGAAATCCATTACTTTTATACGCACAGCCTAAAATCTCGGCCAACACTTCATTTAACATCTAGCATTACATGTTACTCTTTCTTATATGTATAAGCTCTTTAAAGATGCGTGTATAAACGTGCAGCTGTCACATTGATTTATTAATATTTAATTTTTTTGTCTCATTTAAGATCTTGTTATTTGCAAAGGGTAGGGCCCAACCACGATGTACCTTGAGATAACTTAAGTGCCTGACGCTTTGGAGTAACTGCACAAGTGCATACTTTTACTGCAGTAAAGGGAAGGTAATTTGACCCTCAATGAAAATGGACTAAAAGTACACATATTGACAGTAACCACTAAGTGCATCTACACGTGCTATTAATTCAAAGCAGCACGTCTACATATGCTCCCTTTTGGGAGCTGCTCCTGCCCTGTTTTGCCCCTCTACAGCAGTCAGGGGGAGCTCCAAGCTCCTCCCTGGTGCTAGCCCAGGAGCTGGCAAGGGGCACAGGCCAGTTCCAGTGAGCACAGAGCCAGGAGAGCTCTGTTGAGCAGCAGCTGTCTCCTGGCTCCACACACATTGGGCGGAGACCTGATATGCACAGGGCCAGGAGAAAGCTGTCCCTGTAGCAGGCACAGTTTTCCTGGCCCTGTGCCTATCTGGACACACAGCTGCCAGCAAGCTCCCTGCTAGGTAGGGCTTTCCTGCCTGGTGGGGAGTTGCGGGGAGCTGTCCTGGGTGTGGGGCAGCTGCAGGTGAGCCTCCTGCTGCATGGAGAGGGGAGGGAGAATCCAGCCCCCACCCACTCCCTGGAGCAGCCGACTCTGTGTGGTTTGGAGCTGCTCTGGGGGACAGGTGAGGGCTGGATTCGCAGTCCCTGCCCGCTCCCTGGAGCAGCTGGCATCGTGCCATGCGGAGGTACTCCAGGGGGGCACGGGAGGCTGGGTTCCCAGTCCCCGATCATCCTCCAGAGCTCTGTGCTAGGAGCCAGGACAGAGGGCAGAGAGCTCCCCAGTCCTGCAGCTGATTGGCTTTCAGCTCCTGGGGGGAGTTGGGGAGCTGAGCAGTGCCAGGACTGCAAACAGAGCTCCCTGTCCCCTGTGGCCCCTTGCTGGCTAGGCTGACTGGGAGTAAATTTGCTCTCAGTCAACATCTATACGAGTTCTTCAATTTAGTTTTAACGCCCCCCCCCAGCACACAACTAGTATTTAACAACTTATTGCAAACATTACATTTTAGTGCACAGTAACAGGTCAGCAGCTCTAGTTAGCTCTCAAATGTCAGGTTTGATAACATGTCCCTTTTAGTTAGCTGGGGAGATTGAGGTTTATCTATAAAGTCCCAGGATGTTCTGTTCGCCTCAACCAGCCAAGCAGTAAACAAACAAGAATGTTAGAACAGCAAAAGCAAGCAAGAGAGTGAGTGCACAGTTTAATATTTCCTAAGGCCCACCGATACCACTTAGTCTTGATAATATACCACGTTAAGACCAGGTAAGTTTATAAAAATGTAAAAAATTATTAAAAAGTTCTAGCTGTTTTCCAGTGAAATTGTTTGGTTTAAGGCTTGGAACATATGTGATGTCCACATACTACCACAGATTTGCAATATATATATATAATTTTTTATTTCTTTGATATATCTCCTTGTGCTATGCAAAATTTGATTAAGCCAGGAAAGTTGTCAAAACCATAATTATCATTTAGGTCGTTTAGGAAATACTCATAGCAATACGCCACTGAAACCACAGCTACTGATGCTGAACTTAAATAGATGTATTTTCAGTAACCAAAGAAAGCTGATACAGAAAGCTGCAGATATGTAGTTGATGCAGTAACAGGTGCTTTATACCTCTCAGTCTTATTCCAAAGAGAACAAGGAAGAAAGAGACAGGCTTTTTGAGCAAATGAAGAAGGGAGCTGGAAAAACATCACTTTAAAGCCTTCCAATAGATTATTATTAAATGACAGCATTATACACACATATTTAAATGGCAGAAACCTTTTAAACCAAAGATACAAACATAGGACAGAATTATTATTTGCATCACTGTGCTAATATCTGCTATTAGATTAAGATTCCATGTGCTAGAAACCATACAAGTAAATAGAAAAAAGGAATGTTCTGTCTCCTTTTATACTGCTGAGAGGTATGATCAGGAGACTTTTAGATTTTTAAGCAATAAATATCAGCAGTCATCCTTAGACGTTCATTTCTTAGATAAAGGAACTATATAATAAGAAAGGTTTGTTTTTGCTGTATGCTAAAGTGCATGTTTGCCAAATATGCAGAGTACATTTCCCATTGTACAAAAATGTATTGTAAAACGATGTGGCTAAAACCACATTTAGGGTTACATTTCTAGTGGATATTTGGTGATTTCAGTAGTGAAAAAGGCAGCTTTTCTCTTTATGATCTCTTTGCGTTATTGTAGTTGGGAAACAAAGATAAACAAGAATTTCAGTCCAAATTTTGACCTTTTTTTCCACACAAAAAGGGAATTGTTTACATTTCTCTGACAAAGAGAATCTTTAAATAACAGTAAGAAAATATAACTTAAATATAAAACTGTCAAACTGGTTAGAGGAGACTTGAAAAAAAATCTTTTCCCACCTATTACTTTTATAGGTACCTTGTACAAAGTAAACATATACTTAAAAAAATAACATTGTTACTGTGTGTAACCATAAAACTATTCTGCTCTAGTACTTAATATGTTGCAAAAGCCAGTTTTAGTAATAAAACTTACTGGTTTAACTTAGTCAATCCTCATGCCTTTTTCAGATCATCTTGCATCGACTCATTCAGTAACCATAAATTAACCATTGTAGTATTTGTTTTTTATGGTCTTCTGTAAAATGTCAGATACAAATCACCCTAGTCCTTGGTCCTTAATAATGCTGTTTTCACATGTGATGAAAAGACACGCTTGCATATTTGGTTAGCATTTCTGTAGTGCAACTGAACTGGAAAGTCTTCCATCTCCCTGCATCCTATTCAGAGGCCTGGTTTTGAGTCAGTTTGTAAGAAAAAAGGGATGCTGTTGCAAAGTGAAATGCAACTGACTGAAAAGTCTTTGCCACAAAACCTGCAAATTTACAGGCCAGGGAATGCATCATACAGGCAGCCCAAAACGATGCTTCTTCTTCTTAACAGGCTTTAAATCAGTCAGTCTCCGCAGATCCTCTTCAACTTCTGATTCCTCCATTTCATCATCTGCAGAAATGAGGATCTAAAAACAAAAAACTTCTTCTGAATAATGTATATCAAATAATAGGCACACTCTATTTTTCACTCTCCCTCTAACATAAAACAATTTATTGCCACTGAGACTCCCCGTCAGTTTAGAGAAGCTACTATACTAAATAAAGTAATTTGGATCAATTGTTAGGGTTCATGCCACTTCTTGGCATAACTATCCAAAATTTCAAATATTACTAGGAAGTAACTTGCAATCATTAAAAGATCCTTCATACTTCAATTTTCTTGCAATAAATAAATCAGATATGTCTAAACTGGAGATAGGCCTGTTGAAAGTCTCCAGGATAGTGTCAGAGGGGACAGCAACAAGGGTGATGTCATGCTGGGGGTCTGTTATAGATCACCAGACCAGGAGGAAGTGGTGGATGAGGCTTTCTTCAAACAGCTAGTGGAAGTTTCCCAATCACAGGCCTTGGTTCTCATGGGGGTCTTCGATCACCGTGACATCTGCTAGGACAACAATACAGCAGTGCACAGGCAATCCAGGAAGTTTTTGGAGAGTGCTGGGGACAATTTTCTGGTAGACAAAAAACTGGCTGGATCATTGGGCTCAGAGGGTAGTAGTCAATAGCTCAATGTCTGGTTGGCACCTGGCATCAAGTGGAATGCCCCAGGGATCAGTCCTGGGGCCGATTTTGTTCAAAATCTTTATCAGTGACCTAGCAGATGGGATGGAGTGCACCCTCAGCAAGTTTATAGATGACACCAAGCTGGGGGGAGTTGTAGATAATGCTGGAGGGTAGGGTTAGGAATCAGAGACACCACAACAAATTAGAGTTGGATCAAAAGAAATCCCATGAGGTTCAATGGGTACAAGTGCAAAATCCTGCACTTAGGATCGAACAATTTATACCACAGGGAGTTATGCACAGAAAAATGGAAAATTATGTGCAGAAAAATTCAAAATTATGTAGAATTAATTACTTTTATTTTTTTTCTTTTTTACAAATTAAGCTAAACATAACACCATTTGAACCTTCTTTAGAAATATACATAGGTACTTTGTATTTATACGGCTATACAACACAATCTACCACAGAATCTTTAGTGCTTTACCATTCTATGAACACAAAATAAAAATGTAACCAAGCAGGTATGATTTTTAAAACTAAATAAAACCATTAGGACTTGTTATACTGAGATTAGATTTTCTATTTTCAGCAAATTTACTCTTTTTTTTTCAGTAAATTAGACACTCATTTCTTTTCCAAGTTCAAAAGAAAAATAAACAAAGGAGTGCTAAAAGTCCTTTCAATAAATAAATCAGATAGGTCTAAACTGGAGGTAGCCCTGTTGAAAGTCTCCAGGTTAGGGTCATAGGGGACAGCAACAAGGGTGATGTTGTGGTGGGGGTCTGTAACAAAATTATTGCTCAGTTATGTTGGGTTCTTTTCACAGTACAATACTTGTCAAAATACCAACAAAGTCAGTCAAATAAATAAATAAAATCATAATAATAATAAAATAAAGCATTAATAATAGTAAAACAAAAATGTATGTGTTAACTTAAAGTCTTTTCAAGTTCCAAGGTTGAAACAAAGGAAGACCAGCTCTTTCATTTCTTCTTCTGAGTGAAAGGTTGTGTTTGGAGAGGACAAAGTTGTACAGTGAGTTGCTGCGCTCTGCATCAGCTGTGTTTGTTACAGCATTTATGTAACCACCAAATCATATATTAAAATCAAACATCTACTATACATATTTTAAATTTATTTAAAAAATATTTTTGTCCTGATTTACATGCTTGTGTAGTGTATATAGAGGTGATTGCATAATAGCTCATAATAAAGTTTTATTTTTGTATATTGTGTATGGGGGGTGTGGCTGGGGGAGGTGTGAAGGGGATGTATGTGTGGGGGGTTGTGAATGCATGAGGGGAGTGGCTGTGTGTGTGGGATTTGTAGGTATGGGGGTGTGTGGGGTTTGTGGGTGGGTGTAGGGTTTGTGGGTGGGTATGGCCCTTGTGCCAAATGCCCTGCCTCCCCTATGGTGCACAGCCCCTGTTGCTAGCAGCAGGAGGAGGCAGCAGGCCCTCGGGGCACTCAGAGCCATGGCAGGCAGAGCTGCCCAGCGGTGTGTGGCTGTGGCTGAGTCCCGGAGGCTACATGTGGTGGCATGGAGCTGGCCTAGCCTGGCTTGCTGGTGCGCACCTTTCAACCAGACCAGGCTGGCTCTGTACCAGCACATGAGGCTCACAGGACTGCAGGCGGGAGCCGTGTGCCATCGGGTCAGGCCAGGCTGGCTCTGTGCCTCCACGAGACTCTCCTGGCTCCTGGTCTGCATGCCATCGAGCCGGGCAGACTCTGCACTTCCACATGTGGCTCCCCACTGGAGTGCTGGAAGCCCCATGTGGAGGCATGGAGTCATCCCAGCCCAGCCTAATGGAGCATGACTCCACCTGCAATGCTGGGAGCCCCACGTGCTGGTATGGGGCCAGCCTGGTCTGCCTAAAGGCACATGCCAGCGGACCAGGCTGGCTTTGGAGCTAGGACTCAGGTGGAGCTGCACGCCACTGGGGGCTCTGGCTGCCGAGGACCTGCTCCCTGCTGCTGCTGCGGCCAGTGGGGTCTATGCACTATGGGGGAGGAGGTGCGGGGGACCCACACACACCAGCAAAACCTGCACCCAATCACACACACTCCCACACCCACCCACAACCCGCCACACCTCTTGCAGGCAAGAGCTCCCTTCCCCACTTACCAGCTGTCCAGGTGCACACCTCCACATTTAGTGCCTCCATATGGGGCTCCTAGCTGGAAGCACAGACCCTGCCCCAGTTAAATTATGCAATATTATGCAATTATGTGTGGTCATACGTTTTATGTGCAAAATTATGCAGGGGCATAAATGCTTAATTCACTGGGGTGTAACAATCCCATGCACTGGTACAAGCTGGGAACTGACTGGCAAAGCAGCAGCCCTGCAGAAAAGGACCTGGGGGCTACAGTGGACAGTTGCTGAATAGGAGCCAACAGGGTTCCCTTGTTGCCAAGAAGGCTAATGACACACTGGGCTGCATTGGTAGGAGTGTTGGAGGTGTGCAGTCTCACTAGGGGAGATGCCTTACTTGACTTGATTTAGATTGGACATAAGGAAGAAATTCTTTACAGCAAGGGTTGCCACAATATGGAATAGGCTTCCAAGGGAGGTGGTGCTTTCCCCTAGCTTGGAGATGTTCAAGAGGAGATTAGACAGGCATCTGGCTGGGGTTATCTAACGCCCAGCACTCTTTTATGCCTGGAGCAGGGGGTTGGACACGATGATCTACCAGGTCCCTTCCAGCCCTAGACATCTATCTATGAAATCCTGATAATATAGAAGGTTCTTTTATACAGTGGTTACTAAAATTCTCATTCAGTGAAGCTGCTTGTCTTTAAGCACAACAAAAGGGGTACTTAACAAGTTTTGGTGAGTGGCAGTTCAAATCAAATTTCTTACTTACCCTAGTTAAGCTCTTTTGATGAGGAGTAACTAAAGCTGACTGACAGGATGGTGTTAATCTATTGAGATACTGCAAATAACCTTGTATTTGAATTTGAACAGCTGAATGGGGAAGCCAGAATCAAGTTAGTTTGTGGTGTATTACCCTACAAACTAATGAATTAGAATTGATATAAAAATTGCTTCTGTCTCATTAACTTCATCCTCCTGATTCCAATAATTTGTAGACCCATTACTTCAATTTTGTCACATTTTACCATAATTGATTAAAGCATGAAATGTACATTTCAGGACTTCTGAAAATTCAGCAGACCATATAAACTGCAGTTTCCTGTTAAGTGAATTAGCTGGCACCCCAAAGTCTAAGGGCATCCATACATGTAATGGATCTCTGCTCTGACGCATGCTAATTAGCACACATCAGAGCAGACTTGATTAACTGAGTCTGGTAGTGTGCGCTAATTAGCATGCTCCAGCAGACTCCACATCACGTGTATTCAGCATCTCTGCATTTCAAAATGGCAGCAGGAGGTGCTTTAAATAATGCTCGAATGAGCCGCCCTTATTAAGGTGCCCCCCGCTCCACCCTGGAGCACGTGTATAGATGCCCTAAAGTACCAATTAAAGCTACTGTGGTCTTGTGAAACATTTATAGGTAAAAAGGGATTAGCAAATACTATGCTATTCAATGGGTGTCTTGTACACTGGCTTAAGGCAAAGATGGAACAAAAATCACAACATGTGTGGCAATCTATATACCTCTGATTCTGACTCTTCATGTGATGCTGCTCTCCTGTAACGAACTTTAGTTCCATTCCTCGAATCTTGTCCTGCTTCCTTTTCTTCAAGTTTAGCTTTTGTCTTTCCTTTCTTCATAAGAAAATTATCCACTACCCAAAACATCAATGCCTGTGATGGAGACAAAGAGAAATTCAGAATTCAGTTTTCCTCAGGTCAGTACATTTGTTAGTTGTTCATGCATGGGGACAGAATTAGAGAAAGTTACACAAAATGGGAGTTTGACATACTCTGGCACAGATCCAGTCGTATTAGGCTAATGTATGCTCAATATCTCTTAGAATAAAGCTATTCTATTGCTTCCTCTTGCAGTGACAGAAAATAAAGAAGCAACTCTTCAGTGATTAACAATACAATTTTTTTAAAATTGCCATACTGATAACCTTCCTTGGTCTAGGGTAGGAGTGAAACCTATGGCCTGCAGAGCTGTGCCTTATAGCCTGTGGGGCTCATAGAGGGACCAAGAATTTGGGGGCATGACAAGCAGGGGCAGGGCTTGCTGCTAAAATAGAGCACAGAGCTTCGAGGCATGCGTGCCTACAGGCTGGGGAACTCCATTCTTGTCAGTACAGAGGCAGAAAAGGATCTTGGAGTCATCACTGACTCCAAGATGAACGTGGGCCAGCAGTATGGGGATGCAGTCAGGAAGGCCAACTGCACCTTGTCATGCATCCACAGATGCATCTCAAGCAGGTCCAAGGTGATCCTCCCCCTCTATACGACACTGGTCAGGCCGCAGCTGGAGTACTGCATCCAGTTCTGGGCGCCGCACTTCAAGAGGGATGTGGACAACATGGAGAGGGTCCAGAGGAGGGCTACTCGCATGATCAGGGGGCAGCGGGGCAGGCTTTATGAGGAGAGGCTACAGGACCTGAACCTGTTCAGCCTCCACAAGAGAAGGCTGAGGGGGGATCTAGTGGCCTGTTACAAACTAGTCAGGGGGGACCAGCAGGCACTGGGGAAGTCCTTGTTCCCACGAGCACCACCAGGAGTGACCAGGAATAACAGTCACAAGCTGGCAGAGGGTAGATTTAGGCTAGATATCAGGGGGTGCTACTTCACGGTCAGGGCGGCTAGGATCTGGAACCAAATTCCAAGAGAAGTGGTGATGGCTCCTACCCTGGGGGGTTTTAAGAGGAAGCTAGATGTACACCTTGCTGGGGTCATTTGACCCCAGTACTCTTTTCTGCCATGGCAGGGGGTCGGACTAGATGATCTACTCAGATCCCTTCCGACCTTAGAAACTATGAAACTATGTGGTAGGGGGTGAACAATATTGTTCATCCCACCATGGCTGCTACATCTGGATCCAGCCTGTGAGGAGCCCCATTGTCCAAATCTAGCCTGGGGTGCAGGGTGCGCTTGACATCCCAGGTTTAGGGTATTTCAGAGTGATGATATTTTTGTCACTAATAGTAAATTAATACTTTCTTCATATAAATGTAATTGGAACTTTATAATTTGTGTAATAATATCTGAATGCTATATTCAACACCAGGGGCAATAGTTGGACTCTATGGCGACGTCCAGACATGTGCGGACATTTGATTCCCCAGGGACAACTAGTGGCAGTGCAACTTGTGCCGCTGCTAGTTGTACCTAGGGAACGCCCATGCCATGTGTGTGCTGGTGTGCAGCAAGTTACGCCGGTAGGGGAGGCTGGGGCCAGCACTGGACTAGCCCCAACAGCCTTACCTGGGGTTCTGGGGGCCTCCTGGGGCTGCAGCAGCAGCGATCCTGCTGTGTGGAGCCTAGCCAGAGGCAGAGTGTGGCTCTGGCCTGCCAGACTCTGGCTTTTGCGCATGCTGCTGCCATGTGCACAGGTCCACTTTTTTCTCTGTGGGTTGATCTGACCCCTGCATATCCAGGAGTCAAACCCCCCCCCCCCACGCTGCTGCAGCATGGGGAATAATGGAACATGTGGTATGTGGCATCGCAGACATATGTTTACGGTGCCACATGCCGCACAGCTGCACTCATTTGGACATGGCCTATGACTTCAAATTAACACATCCATGATGTAATAAATTCTGGGCATCATTGCTGTGTTGTTATTTAGTTGACAGAGACTTATATATACACACATTTTTTTTTTAACTCTTCAACACATCCATTGTTTATAATACAGCTTTTACCATGGAATGCTGTGCTTTAATGATTAACATTAAATTGATGGGAATAGATGGGAGAAAATACAGGTTAACTGTCACAGAATCATGCAGTTGTACTAACATTAACAAAGAAGGGAACTATCAGCATGACGATAGCCAGCTCCAGCTGGGGGTTCTCTATAGGATTCAATAAAGCTACCTGTGGGGAAAAAAAGGATCAAATTCAGACTGTGGCAATATGTACACAGTTGGGTTAGAAAGTGTAATAATTCACGTCCTAGAGATAATATTGGGGTGATAATCTTATGAATTAGAAAGGCAAGCTTCACAGAAAAAGAATATGCTCTATTAAAGATGACATTTTCAGTAAAACGAAGTTACTTGGCAGCAACTGAAGTTCTTTGAGATGTACTGTCCACATGAACGTTCTCACTTGTGGGAGTTGCATTTCATGTCTTGTGTTTTGACTGGAGACTTTTTGGAGATTGTACTCTAGCACTGCCTTTTTTTGTGCCCCCATACCAAGGGGCTGAAGGGCAGTGTGTGCTTTTCCTCCTGTTTTGTCTCAGTCAGAGACTTATATTATTTTTGATTGCATGGAAGGTGGGATTCAATTGTGTATGTGAGCCCATATATCCTGAAGAATTTCAGTTACTGGAAAGTAACACCACTGAATAAAGTCCACATACATATACTCACTTGTGGGTGACTCCAAAACAGTGCTCCCACACATGGAGGTGGTTTCAGAGTCATCTAGACTGGGTTGTCATACAGTCCACAAAGGTGTGGCATCTGGCCCATTGGCCTCTTACAGGCTGGACAGTCTCTCTCTAGATTTTGTCCATGGGACTTGTCATCATGAGTCAGCACCCAGGAAGTTAACACTGGCAATACCACTCCCTCCCTCCCACCTTACCTATCACTCAGCATCTGTTTTTGGGTTGCTATTAGTGACTAAAATGAAGCAGCCAGTAATGAGAAAAGGGGACAGACTCGTGTAGTGGTAGCATTAGCCTCCTGGGTGCTGGCTGCATGATATAGCAGCTCTGACAGCCCTGGAAAGACCCACTTCTGGATATGGGCCATAGGTTACTCTCATAATGACTCCTGAAAAGAGACAAAGATGGGGGTTGGGAGATGGGAAGTGAGGGAAACTGGACAGAATCCCTTTGGCACCATAGCTCAGCAGCCTGATGTAATATTGCAGGGCTGTCCAAATTCTAAGTCTCAGCATGTCCTAAGCCAGCAACATGCCCTAGGGACTACACTAGCAGAGGCCACATGAACAATCATGCATCCTGGTGAACATACTACACCAAGTGGACCTGGCAAAGGAAGCTTTGACAATTGGCAAGGACATAATGGACTTAGTGAATCCTTGTTTCCTCCTAGACCGCTGCTAAATGGATGGACAAGTACTCTGTGCCCCAGACAACACTCTGTATTTGTACTCCTTACTCAACACATCCTCTCTGTTTGCAGCTTGCATGAGAAAGTCAAGTTGTAAAAAGCACATCAAGACCAAAAGGTTTGACCATTTTGGTAAAAGACTATTAATCAGCTAGCTTGCAGTTTCAAATAGCTAACTACAATGGCCCTTTTAATTCACAACAGCTTTCCAAAGCTGGTAGATCTGACACTGTCCCTTAGCACTGATAGAAGAACCTGATGTTCTTAATTTCAAAAGGGCAACTTGTGACCAAGATAGCATTACAGACCACTCTAGACACAGCCAACTCCAGTCAGGTCCACTATATCAGGAGTAGTTATGTACCAATCAACATGGCTGCAGGGGTGAGGCTTCCCCAAGGAGTCAAGCTACCCTAGACTTCCCATTTAAGGATACAGAGTGTTAGCTGCAGAACTGATGGCACCCTGCATATGCTCAAAGATTCAAAAGCTACTCTCTGATCCTTTGAGGTATTTCGTCCTCTCATACAACTGAAAGTTCAAATACACAGCATATTGAAGAGGTCCTCTTTCCCTAGTATCTGCCTCTGCTTCACTGATGCAGCCTCCACCTAGAACAAGGAAGCCTCCTAGAAAGCAGCACTTTATAGACTGTGGCACTCTTACGTTGGATTTGATGGAGGTGCTCAAGAGATACAGACTTGCCAGCCATCTACTCTTCTGAGATTGTTCAACTCAGTTCTGCAGCTCCTAGTCCAATGTGACAGGGCTGTCCAATTGGTGACCTACAGGCTGCATGCAGCCAAAAGCCAGTTAATGTGGGGCCCCGGGCTTCTGCCCAGTCACTTTTTCAGCAGCAATAGCAGCTGGAGTCTCTAGTTTCCTTCCTCCAGGGCTGTGCCTAGGGGAAAGAGAGAGGGAGTGGGTTTCTCATGCAGTACAGCAATTGGAGGACACCCATGTGAGTGCACAGTGGCTGGGGGGATTGTTCTTGCACACCTGTGCTGTGCAGTGGTTGGAGGGTTACACGAGCATTCATGTGGGAGACCCCTTCTCTAAAGCAATCCTGCTATTCTTTTTGAGCTTGTAAAAGCCCCATTTATGTCCTTTGATAACTGGGACATAAACTGCACCAAATTTGAACAGGGGAGAGGACAGATCTGTGATGAGGATGGAAGAGTCTACTGCAATGGTCTGGGAAGAGGCAAGTGTTCCTTTGCAGAGGTCAAGAGAACCTCTGAGCAAGGAGGAATGTTATTGGAATACCATAGCCAAATTGGCCATGCTGGCATTGTCAGGCAGCTGTCGGGTCAATGTACTGGCATCTGATTTGCCATGTTGTGTGACACAAGAGGAACGTGGCCTGAACCCAAGGGAGCAACCAGGTCTGGATAAGGCTATCTTCCAAATAGTACCATCTCTACCCACACCATAAAGCCTGGGATGGTTTGACCTAGGTAAATGAGAGAACTGTATCTGCAGCAAAGCTGAGATGGCATTGCTGCATGGCACTGATGGAACTGTGTGGGTGGAGGAGCAGGTGTTGGCCAGTACACCAAGCCAAAATTCACTCTCAGCACTCTTCCTCATATAACAAAAGCGTTTTCCTAAGAGAAGCTGTTCCAAAGTGAGAACCTCAAATCATGCAAAGTACTCCAAAAAATTGCTCCATCTCTAGCCAGGGTTTTGTGAAGAGATGAAAGTAGGAAGTGTCCACTGCCTTTTGTTTTTTCAGTGCAGAAATATGATAAGATGAATGGCTAAAGTACTCTACAGATACTGCTAAGGCAAACAGTGTCTAGTCAAAGAACAAGTGAGAATGTCTATGTGGACAATTATTCAAAGGACAAACTTTGTCATGTCAAGAACTTATCTTTACAGAAGTAATCTGAAGAAAAGTGATTAGTCAGAATGATCAGATAATTCCTGAGCCCGCAGTTGGCAGCCCACCTCTGCCCCATGGGGGCATGTGCTCCCATGCCTGCCTCGGGGGTGCGTACAGCTCTGGGGAGTCATGCTTCTTGCTATGGGGATATATTTTTCTAAATTCTGTAAACCAGGAATGAATTTACTAGTCCAATGCAAATTCCTAGGGCTTCACTGAGCCTTTGTACACACTATGTTTTTTGCCCTTTCTTGCACTGCAACAGCATGACTGTTTGCACGAGCAGGTTTTCGGATGCTCTAAGAGTCTTTGTAGTACATTAAAGTAAAACCTCAGCTGTAGTTTAGTTTGGCCTGCTGAGAATTAAAGTGTCACATCCATGGAATCATTGCATGCAAACACAAAGGCACTCAAAGATGTGTAATGAGCCTCTTTGTTCACCAGATGGCACTGCAACTTTTTTGTAGTTCACCCCTTTGAAATGCTTCCGCTTTTTTTTTTCTTGTACTGTTTGTCGGCTCCATGGTCCCACAACTGTGTGGCAGGGCATGGGTGAGGGGCCCCAGGCTGCGGGGGAGGGGGAAGAAGGCAGCGCTGAACCATCCTGCTCTCCTATGGTGCTGGTTGGGGAAACGGGTTTAATTTGTTTGAAACACAAGTGTGTGCAAATACTAATGTGACGCTCCAAAGCTTAATCGTTTGAAAACATAGTGCATGCAAACACTGATGTGATGCTCCAAAATAAACAAATTTAAATTTTATAAACTTATTTAATTTAATGAGCAAACCCTGTGGTGTGTACAGGTGCCCACTGCATCTGTCTATCACTTAGAACTTGCTAGGGAGATTTTGTCAAATCCTATAGCACTATTTCCTATATAACTTAGATAGGCACATGAGTTTGTACTGTACCTGATGCAGTATCTACTAAAACAAATCAGACTAGGATTATTGTCACCAGTGGATGCCAGAAAGTCTGAATGGGAGTGTACTAAAGATAACAAGATGCATGACTGCCAGAGGTAACAGAGTTAACTGGAATAAAATTTACATAAATGTCTACTGTAAGTCTTATACAAAACCAGTATTTTAAATATTAGCAGCCTATTGCTTTCTGGTATCCAACTGAAATTCATGAAACTGTAAAATGGCATAAAGAGTCAAACCTCTTTCCATTGAGGTATTAGGAGGACTATAATGATGATGGTTTTCTCAAACATCATGATCACTATGTATAGGACACACTGTCCCACCCAAGCAGTGCACTGAAGTGGATCACCTATAAAGAAAAGCAAGTATTTATTACACATATGGCTCACTATTACTTCATTTAAAACTACAGATTTAAGAAAAGCAAAAGCAGAAATAGATAAAAGCAGAATTTAGCAAGTCAAAGTACATGAAATACTTGATAAAATGACTGCAATTTAAAATGTCTTCATAGCAGCAGTAACCATATAGTACCCCTTTACTTGATGTCCTTTTCCTGTGCTCCTACCCTCAATTATTGTGAGTTGTTATGCTTAACTATAGAGCTTTTAACAGGTGTAATTTGGAAACTGACCATACTTGCACCTTTTGGGAGTACCTTGGTTAACCAGGTTGCTCTGTATTACTGAAATTGGCAAAGAACTGTTGCATTTATTTAGATCATATTTACTTTTCCATAAAAGCTAATATTGCTTTCTTCCTTCTCTTCTGTTGCAAAATATATTTTAAAACAGAAACTTAAGAAAAATGGGCCTGTTGCACTATTTGATCAGCATATGCAATATTTTAATACAAATCAGACTATTTCTGTGTTTTTGCTTATACCATCCTAATAAAAATATCTCATACAAAAAAAAATCAACAGTCATTTATAACTGATACCTGAGACAGAGACTACAGTAGATTACAAGTACATGACTAGATACCAATTTTTTTTGTTTTTTTGAAAGTCCTGAAAGCTAAGCAGGATCTATTTTATCTGCAGTAGTCAAACTGATAGCATTCATTTATCATTAAAAAAAAAAAGAAGTTTTGCTGGGCTCCAGCTAGGCTACAGTAAAATGCATGGTAATCAAATTAAATTAATTAATTATTTACTGTACTGTTCTGGAATTCGACCTCTTTTACACAAATATACCAATAGAAAAGTATGCAAACTACTGTGGTGAGTAACTGAAAATACTTGGTTGTATGCATACAGAAGGTGAGATAAGTGGAGTGTCCGGTAAACCACTGATGTGAACTTTAAGCATCATTTAAGCAATATCACCAGGATTTGACAGTTCAGGGATGCAGTAATAACTGAAGTTTTGCCTACCTATTTCATCTTTTGCATTCAAATAATGTTGATAAAATCTTCAAATATAGCTTAACTTTGCCCCCGGAAGCACTCCTTTTGGGAGGGGAGGGCTGCCATCTTGGAACCAGAAAAAACGCAAAATCATATACTAAAAGTCAAACACCTACTATAAACATATTTTAATTTTATTACAAATTTTTTTGTCATGATTTGTGTTTGCATACTATATATAGAGATGATTGCATAATAACACAAAAATAAAGTCTTACTCTTGTGTGAGGGGTATGGGGCATGGTTGGGGGTAGGTGTATGTGTATGGTGGGGGCTTGTGAAGGGGTGTATATGCTGGGGGTTGGAGGAGCAGGGTGTGTGTATGTGGCATTTGTGAGGTGTGAGGGGCGGTGGGGGTGTATGGGGACCCACCACACACTCCCCTCCATTGCGCACAGCCCCTGTTGCCAGCAGCAGCAGGCAGGTGCTTGTGGTCCATGCTGGTGCTGGTGCTGCTGCTCAGCGGTGTGCTGCTCTAGCCAGCGCAGCACCTGCTGGCAGCCAGGCCAGCCTGCCTCTATCGTGTGGGGCTCCACACAGCACACATGCAGCTCCTGCACTTGTGTGCCACCGGGCGAAGCCCCATGCAATGGAGCTGGCTGCCTTTGTTGTTCCCTGCTGTGCAGGTCCAGGGACACCACTGAAAGTGGAGAGCAGCCCCGCCTTCTGCTTCCCAACAGAGTCCAAAGAACTGCATGGTAGGGGGCAGAAAAGCGGCTGGCTCCATCATGTGGGGCTTCCCCTGGTGGCATGCGAGAGCCAGGAGGTGCATGCATGCTGCATGGAGCCCCATGCGATAGAGGTGAACTGGCCTGGTTGAGCTCCCTGCCACCACATGCAGTGCTGGTTGGAGCCACATACTGCTGGGTGGCAGCACCTGAGCAGGCCATGAGCACAAGCCCCCTGCTGCTGTTGCTGGCAGTGGTGGTTCTGTGCCATTAGGGGAAGTGTGTGGGGGGTCCCCACATCCCTGCCCCCCTTTCCCTCACACCCACCCCCTGCCTAGCCCAGTTCTGCACACCTGATGCCACCCTGGGTGCCGGCTCTGCACTGCCACCAGCCCCAGCCCCATGCTCCCACCCAGCTGTAGCTCCCACCTAGTTTCTGGAGCAAGCGGGACACCAGGGAAGCCAAGCAGGTCACCCGGTGGCTTCAGGAGTGGTAGCAGCAGTCCCACCTGAAAGCCATGTGCTGGCTGGGCTGGGCCCTTCTGCCCACAAGGGTGAGTGAGGCTAGGTAAGGTACAATTAGTTGGTGGGAATCTGTGGGCTGGATGATATTGCCTGGCGGACTGGATCTGGCTTGGGGGCTGTATTTTGCCCACCCATGGTTTAGCTCCACCCTTCAGACAGATGAAAGCTGCTATTAAATCACCTCTCAGTCTTTCTTCTCCAGGCTAAAGAAGCCCAGTTCCCTCAGCCTCTCCTCATAAGTCACATGCCCCAGTTCCCTAACCATTTTTGTTGCCCTCTGCTGGACTCTTTCCACTTTGTCCACATCCTTTTGAGCCCAAAACTCAACACAGTACTCCAAATGTGGCCTCACCAGTGCTGAACAGGGGGAAGAATCACTTCCCTTTTATCTACTGGCAGTGTTCCTACTAACGCAGTCCAGTATGCCATTACCCTTCTTCGCAACAAGGGCACACTGTTAGCTCATATTCAGCTTATTGTCCACTGTAACCCACAGGTCCTTTTCTGCAGAGCTGCTGCTTAGCCAGTTGGTCCCCAGCCTGTAGTGGTACATGGGATTCTTCTGTTTTAAGTGCAGGACTTTGCACCTGTCCTTATTGAACCTTATGAGATTTCATTTGGTCCAATCCTCCAATTTGTTCAGGTCTCTCTGAATCCTAACCCTACCCTCCAGCATATCTACTACTCCCTGTGCCATCTGCAAACTTGCTGAGGGTGCACTCCATCTTATTTTCCAGATCACTGATGAAGATATTGAACAAAACCAGCCCCAGGACCAGCCTCTAGGGCACTCCATTGGTACCGGCTGTCAACTAGACAGCAAGCCATTTACTACTACCCGCTGAGCCTGATGATCCAGCCAGCTTTCTATCTACTTTACAGTCCACTCATCCAGCCCATTCTTGCAAGCAAACTGAGGAAGTATGTTGTGGGAGACCATATTGAAAGCTTTGCTAAAAATCAAGGTACATCACATCCACTGGTCTTCCCACATCCACAGAGCCAGTCATCTCATCAAAGAAGGCAATCAGGTTGATCAAGCATAACTTGCCCCTGGTGAATCCATGCTTACTGTTTCTAATCACTGTTCACCAGAGCACCCTTTGGGAAAACCAGGAGTAAGGGCCACAAACTCCTGGAAGACCTTTTTCAGGCTTAACAGTAGGAAAAACTTCTTCACAGTTAGGGTGTCCAGACTGTGGAACAGGCTCCCTCCAGAGGTGGTGCAATTGCCTACCCTGGAAGTCTTCAAGAGGAAACTGGACAGTCACCTTGCTGGGGTCACCTGACCCCAGTTGTCTTTCCTGCCTAGTGCAGGGGGGCTGGACCCGATGATCTTGCAAAGTCCCTTTCCAGCCCTTACAATTTATGAATCTATGAACAATCACCTTCTCCTCCAAGTGCTTAGAAATGGATTGAGGATCTGCTCCATGATTTTTCCAGCAACTGAGGTAAGGCTGACTGGTCTATAGTTCCTTGGATCCTCCTTTCCTTTCTTAAAGATGGGCACTACATGTGTCCTTTTCCAATCATCTGGAACCTCTCCTGATAGCCATGAGTTGTCTAAGATGATGGCCAGTGGCTCTGCAGTCACATCAATCAACTCCCTCAGCATCCTTGGGTGCATCATGGTACATATCCAGCTTTTCTAAATAGTCCCCAGTCTGTTCTTTTGCCGCTGCTGGCTATTCACGTCCTCCCCAAACTGTGTTGCCAGGTGCAGTAGTCTGGGAGCTGACCTTGTCTATGAACACTGAGGTGAGCACTTCAGCCTTTTCTGCATCCTCTGTCACACAGTAAAGTCTGAGCGAGGACAGGAAAGTGAAATGGTACAATAAATTTGTTTGTTTACAAATGGAACAATAAATCTGAAGCTGTCTGCTGCGCTGTTTGGGACACCTGAACTCCGAACCCCTTCTCTTTAAAAGAAGAAAACACCCACTTCCTTCCCAGGAGTTAACCAAGAATAAAAAGTTCTCATAGGTGGGGGTGCTATGGATTGCTGGGGTAGCCAGAGACTGAGAAGAGCTAGGGTCTCAAAGCTAGAGGCTTGCCCCTTGTGGACAAGCCCGCACATGCCTCTTGCAGTGCCTCAAAGGAGTTTGAGATGCTGCAAGAAGCATGCCGGGAACAAAAAAAAAAGTTCCTCGCATTGCATATTTGCAGCGCAGGCTCAAAATCTGGTACCTGGAAATCCAGGTACCAAAATAAAACACAGTTGAAAAAAGTGGGGTAGGGTACAGTCCCCAACCATGCCCTAGGGTAACCTGGGTGCCAGTCCTCCAGAGAGACACTGGTTTATGGCCAGAGCATCTCTACAGTGCTCCTGCTGGCCCGGCGCTGTCACAGGTAAATTATGGACATGGGAGTGAGGGGGTTTATGGGTGTGGGTGGGTGAGTGGAAAGTGGAAAGAGGATGTCGGGGGGTATGGGGAGTGGCAGGAGGGGGGGGGTAGTTTGTGGGTGGGTTTGTGGAGGGGTTCAAGCGGGGGCCATTGCATACCTGCCCCCCCATGATGCCGGTGTCACCAGCCAGTGCGGCTGTGGCCCAGCTGTAGGCACAGCCAGTGGTGCTGCCGTGCTGTGTAACCTAGACTCTGTACATGCTGAACAGGCCCGGCAAAGCCCACACAGGATCCTAGCTTGCAACTAGCTTGCCTCTGCACAGGAGCTGTGTCCCAGAGCCGTGCCTCCCGCTCCTGTGCAAAGGCATGCTAGTGCACTGCGCTAGGCTGGGTTGGGTGT